CAATATTAAAGTAGCCAAGTTGAGAAAAGTCATGTTCTCTGGATGGAGGGATTTGTCATTGCTTTTCTTTCTGTACTTCGAAAGCTGCTTCAACTTCAGCTACTCGAATTTTCGATATTCTTTTTTATTTCTCATCAAACAAATGGCATCTTCTTCTGGAATCCACGAAATAATTTGATCCCTGGACAACATCGTCATGGTAAAGGTCGTAATGCTAGTTTGCAGGATCTTATTATACAAATTCTGCTCTCTTTCCCAGCAAAAGTATACATTTTTCCCTAGTGCACGTCTAGTACTCAGTAGTCGATAATAGTGCAGATAATAATGGACAAATAAAGTTTGAAAAACTTAAATTAAAGCAGAAAGTTGGAGATCTTATTCATTGTCATTTCAACAGAAAATCCCTATCCGCTGGGAGATTGAAAGTCAGAGAACCTCAAAATGAGTTTGGGCCAAAACTATTGTGCAATCTAATAAGCCCTCTTAAAAGATTTTGGGCCAAAATGAGTTTCCCTAAGTGGAAATTACAAAAATCCCGAGTTTTAAAGATCTCAGTACAAAAATAAGGTGAGATGGTCTTTTATGCAGATTTCAGGTATGAATTTAATTATTAATATTAATACAAAATATTTCATCCCCAATTCGGCCCTAAAATTCATTTCACACAGCAATCAGCATCTTCTCTCCTCACTTTCTCCCGTTAACCCACGGTGCCCCTGCCCACAGTCGGAGAGAGCCTTTCACGTCGTCCCGCAACGGTACTTTACCTTTCACGTCGTCGCTTCGTCAGCAACGATCGCTCGTCGTTTTGAGGCGCTTCGACGCAACACAGGAACCACTGCCGCGAGGTTTGGATGGTGTTTTGTGTAGTGTGGTGTGGTGTTTACGGTGGTGTCGTGGTGGATCTAGCGCAACTGTTGCCATTTTTTGATCTGTGATTTCGACGAGTGGGGGTGGTCGGCAAACAATTTCTCTATCCAACGTGGATGTGGGTGGCTTTGGTGACTTCATGCGGTGCCGAGTGCAATGGATCTAGGTAGGACGGAGGCGGCGGCGGTCTGGTTGTGGTCGGCGTTTGGTGGTGGTTTTGAATGTATTGGTGTGTTGTGGATGGTGATGATGGTTGTTGATGCAGGTGGTGGAGGTGGCCGATCTGTGGTATGTGTGCGGTTTTGTTGGTGCAATGTGGGTAGAAGCCAATTCTGTTGGTGCGATGTGGGTGGTGTTGTTTGCTAGGGTGTTGGTGTAGTGTGCGGCGGCGGCGATTATGGTGATACAAGTTGGTGGTTTGGGTTGATTGTCG